TACCCATTTCTGAGGCTGACTGTGTACTTAATAAGGAGGAGCACACAAAATGAACAGTCTTGGCCCCAAAGAGCTTACCATCTACAACAGTGGCTCTCAAAGTTTTGTACTGGTGAACCCTTTCACATTGCAAGCCTCTGAGTGCGCCCCCTTTATAAATTAAAAACAAACACCATTATAAATGCTGGAGGCAAAGCAGGGTTTTGGGTGGAGGCTGACAGCTCGTGACCCCCCATGTAATAACTTCATGACCCCATGAGGGGTCCCGACCCCCAGTTTGAGAACCCCTGATCTACAACATTGTGATTGTATTTAGCAAATCTATGACCCACATTATTATTAGACTGTACTTCTTAGTTTTACTTTATACAAATAATATCTGACATGATCTACAGACTCCATATGTAATTACAAAACAAAAACCATGGTTTGCAGATATTTTAGCACTGGTATAGTTCTGTATTATAGGCCTTGACATGCAGTGCATTTAGGACTCGATTCTGCTCCCATTTCAGTCAATGACAAAACGCCCACTGACTTCACTGATGTAAGACTAGGCTCTTCAGCAGGAAAACTCACAAGGCTACTTTTGAAAACACACTTTTCATGTTTATGTTTGTTAGTAACAGCACAGTCCTTTCCATCTTACAGGTACAGTATATATGGTTTCACAATAGGACTTGCTGTCCCAGTGAACCCTGATGTTTCATTAATGTTAGTGTCAACATTATTAGTATAAATGTGCATGAAGAGTAAACACATGGATCTGTATTTTCCATTTGCTGCTTTTTAAATTTCACAGCTCTAAGTGCAGTTAATGGAGGATTAATGTGCATCTTACATTCATTTTATTAGCAAAGAAAACACTTCTCTTGGTTCCTAACTTAAAACACTGAGCAACAGATTCATGTGGGCCTCTTGCTCATTTTTACTATAGTTATAAAATGCTTTTTAAATTTGTTTTGGTGGGTGAAGATATAAATAACTGCTCTATTAATGGCACCCAGGGATTTGTGGCCAATATCCAGATTGTCCACTGGCTGACTTCATTTTCCCTTTGACCAAACTTGTTCTAGTGTTTGTAAAAGTAAAAGCAGGTAATGGAAAATTCTGGGTTTGCTGCAAAGCACATTGCTTGAAGGCCAATTAATTTTTAAAAGAGAAACAACAAGAAAACCAGAGTGGAACTAAACACACATAAGCTGGCAACCATCGAAGTAGTTTCCCAGTGGATGGAAGGGGATTACTAATAGGATAAAAATATAAATTTACTAGGACTAATATAAATTAACATAGGATCTATGAATTGAAGACTACTCTTCTCCCATCATAGCACATTTTTCATAGATGAAGTGAGACCCAACAGCTACTTTTACTTTTATTCTGAAAGAACATTAGAAATCAAATATGGTCCCAATGCTATGCACCAAAGCTCCTAGCCTATCAGCACAAGGAGTTATTGATTTACACAATCACTGTTGCTTTAATTATTAAATATTCAATTCTCATACATATGGAGATAATACTCCTAAAAGTTGAATTGATGTAATGTAATGGATTAAGAATTGCCCAACTGTTGTTCCCTTAAATATTAAATAGCTTGATTTTTTTCAGTTTTATGAGTGCCCCCTCATTTGCTCTATTACAAGTTCTAGGAGTGTCTCTGTATATTATGTAAGGAGATAAGGAAAATCTATATTCACATGCTTCTACCAACAAGGATATTCTTTACCATAGCCCCATCTTCAACCAAAGGCTTTAGTCCTCACTTCATGCAGCATGCATAAACTCTTTAAAGCGGTGATTGTCTTCTTGTATGAAGAGAACATCGCAATGTGGACACTAGCAGAATAAAAGTAATAAAATAAATAATAAGTAACAATAATACAAAGAGGCATATAATGGACAAACAGATGCACATTCATTGATTTCCTTCAAAATAAACACTGCTGTGAATCAGAGGGTAGGATCAAGGCCAAAGTTTAGAATCAGATACCTAACATTTGATATGTAGTCAGCTTAGACCAGGGGTGGCCAAACTTACTGACCTTCTGAGCTGCATACGACAATCTTCAGAAGTTCAAAAGCCAGGGCGTGCCAGGCAGAGCAGGGCTTCAGCCCTGCGGCATGGTGGTGGGGCTAAGGCTTCTGCCTCGTGGGGAGGGAGGGTCTTGGGGCTTCAGCCCAGTCGGGAGGGGGGGCTTGGAGCTTCAGCCCTGCTCCTGCTGAAGCCGTGAGCCCCAACAGATGCCTCCCATAGGGCTGAAGTCCCAAGACCTCCGTCTCCGCAGGACAGAAGCCCCTACCCCCATCTCCCCACCCCAGGGCAGAAGCCCCAACCTCCTCCCCCCAGTCTGATAGGCAGAGAATGGGGGACTCCCTCCATGAGCTGCACTTTAAACTGTAAAAAAGCTGCATGTGGCTTGGCCACCCCTAGCTTAGACTACATCTTGTGTCAATATGCACTAGGATCTAGAAAAGCTAATTATGAAGAAGTCAGGGTGACTAATTTGTAACTCGCTAATGGACTCTAACACAAAGTGACTCTGATAGACAAGAAGACCTCATCAAAACCATCAGCGTAAGTTACTGCAAGTTTATTTTATTTTTTACAATATGGACAGTGCAGCAGTGTCAGAGCAATTCATTCAAATAGGCTTCAACATTTGTTTTTATCTTGGCTCTTTTAGTGCCTTGGTGACAGCCTTCCAGAAGATGGCTGAGGCTGTCTGAATTGTGAGAGCTCCACATCAAAATCCACAAAGGTATACATATTATACTCATGATGCTGGAGGTTCTTGTAGGTAGAATTATCGAATTCTTCCTGTGCAGATGCAGCAGCTGTTTTGGTCTCTGTGGAACAAAAATAAGACTAGTGAACCTAGTGATGCCAGAACAGAGATAACACTCTTTCTGACTGCATCAGTTCCATACAGTTGGAGACTCCTCATTCATTTAAGAAGAAAAAAACAAAAAAGTCAGCAGCTACAGTGTAAGGCTAAAGTTGCTAAACTTCTGTTTGTATCTTATAAGATACCAAGGAAGCACATCACACGTCTTTAAATGAAAAGACAGAACAACAGATTACTTGAATCAACTAACACAGGATTCCAAATATATGACTCCCTTACAGTGGAAAACATTAGCAACAGTACTTTTATTTCAACACACAAACAATTTACTATTGATGGAAATGAGTCTGTCTCTCTTGAATGCTGCCTAGTATATACTTAATGTCACTTAGCTTTACAGGTTCTCCCCACAGCCAGAACATTAGGTGACACTCTTAGCAAGCCAAGAGATGCAAAAGAGCATTAATTACACATTTATATCTATCATGTCAGACCACAAAATAAGGACATTAAAACACATTAAGCTGATGATCTTTTCTAATAAAAACTTAGTTACAAAAAGGATTTCCACAAATTATTTCAACTGTGGCTGTATCAGAAAATATATCAAGGACTTTATATTTCAATCCTCCTACCCCCGCATTATGGAATTCCTTGTATACTCTTTATTCTTTTCAAAACCTCACACTGGCTTTCTTTTCTAAAGAGATAATTCTGAATGAATAATAAAAAGCTTAAATTTCTGATATCACATATACTAAAGCTGATATTAATTTTTGTACTTTAGAAAGATTACACTAGTTTAAATAAGATCTTTTATAACAACATTACTGTTCAATTCACTTTACCACACAGGGAAATTGTGAGAAAATTTTTTCCAGAGCAAGAAGAAAAGCAAAACAGTATTTCCTATGCTAGCATGTACTTTTATGTAAAAAGGGTTGACAGTCAGAAAGAAAGTTAAGTGCGATCTAGCAATAAAAGTTTGTGCCACTTGTATGCAGTGGTTTGCATTTGTTTATTTTATATCAAAAACTTTACCTTCTACAGTTATTTGTTCTTTTGGTAATGGGACAGTCTCCCAGAAAAATAAACAAGCAAGAAATAGAACATTGTGTTTTCTCCTTAATCCTTCTATATTGGTGCAGTGATACCATATGTTTCAACACATGTATCTGTTGCATTTTATAATTGAGACTCTTGCAAGTGTAATATACAACAGAAACCACTACATACATATTTGAACCAGGTGTTGTAATCTTTGCTGGAAAGAGCCCAAAGAATAAGCAAGCTTAG